AGAATGTAAAATCACATGGCAGATGTAATTCTAATGAGATGATGATACATACATACATACATACATACATGCATGCATGCATACATACATACATACATACATACATACATACATACATACATACATACATACATACATACATACATACATACATACATACATACATACATACATACATACATACATACATACATACATACATACATACATACATACATACATACATACATACATACATACATACATACATACATACATACATACATATAAAAACAAAGAAACTATGCATACTTTCCTAATTCATACTGTGTGATACATTTCTTTATGCTAGCAGTTTTGTGTATTGAAAACACTTTTAAAGCACTTTCAATTGCAGATTTTTAATTTTGAAAGATGATATATGTATAACCCATTTGATTCCTATGAAAATCCATTTTTTTTTCAAGGTTTATCAAATCCACCCATTTATGCAAAACAATCAAAGGTCTAGGTGTGTGCTATTGGCCTAAAAATTATTAAATTTAATTCATTTGTACAGTTTTCTTCTTTAGGATCTTTTTTTATATTATAGCTCGGTCATGTCTTCTCTAATCAACCAATAGTATTAACCAACCAAGGTTAGTATAGCATACAAGTACATGCTACAATTACATGCTGATATTTATGACAACAACCTTTCAATGCAAATAAGCTAAATTGAAACAAATTATTATGAAAACAGGCTTACATGATAATGTTGTGTTGTTAAATGCAATATTTGTGTTGGCATTATACATTAATGTATGGGAACTCAATGAGCATTATTGATTTTGAAGGAGAATAAAACATGCTTTCCAATTTAAAATATTATATCTAGAGTTTGTTTGCCTTTGACACAAGCCATGTCTTTTGTACTGCATGATCAGTTAATGAGTAGTGTTGACATCTCTCTAATGTATATTGATATCAAGCACATAACAGTAAACATTGATATACACAATGCATGAAGTTAAACTTGGCTTTTTGGGTTTTTTTTATGTAGAGTCATCACTCTTTACCTTTGACAATTGAGATTCAAAAAATATATATTTTGTTGGAAAATTTGGTGGTTGAGTGGTCTAAAGAGCTTGCCTTTACTGATAGCTACCATCTCACCTATATCTGTGGATTTAAGTCTCGGGTTTGGCCAATGTTGGTATGTGAGGTAGCTTGCCTTTAGTTTCCCAAGGGTCAATGGTTATAACCAGGGTTTTCCAAAGTTATTCCTCAACCAGTTGCTGCTGGCCGCTGTACACAGAAAAATGGTATTAAACCCCAAACAACATCTTGAGAATTTAGCTATAGATGACAAAGAATACATGTTTGCTACTACATATAGGAAAAATTTCAAAATTTTTTGTGTAGTTACATATTTCAGATAGTATAGTGATAGTGTTGATAAAATCATCAAACACTTATAAACATGTTTTTAAAAAAGTTGAAAACTGGATTATAAAAGGAATCAAATATGACTATACTTTAATGTTTCCATAAAAAAGATTTTGTAATTTTCAAAAGCTTCAATGAAAACACATTAATTTTCATGATTTGATTATAAAATAATAATTATTTCAAATTGTGTGCATAAGTTGTTGCGAATAGCTCCAACTGTATGAAACTTCCGTCCAATTAGTAAATAAATTTGGATTATGAATTCTGTTTTTTTGTTATGTATATGTCACAATGCTGTGTTGTGAGCAATTCACAAGATATTGCCTCAACCAGATGAGTGAGGATTTACTTAAATAAATACAATCAGTGTTGAATTTGGAATTTAGGTCACAGGGATCCAATTTTAGTGTCCCAAAACAGTACATCCTGAATTTAACATCAATCATAGTTATATCCCTTTGTTTGTTTGTTTTTCTTTTTCCAAATAAAAAGTGTAGGGCTGGGTAACCAGAACCACACATAACGTTTTTACTTGGCTTAATCAAGTTTGTATCAGTCCTAGAGTGCAGTTCATATCAACAGAGGTTTGATTTGTCATACCTTCATACCAAAATGTACTAATACATTGCAAGTTTGGTCTCAGGGTGTTCATATCAAAAGACTTTTGATGCATGTCATCCCAAGATATACCTACCATTATACTGTAAGTTTGGTTATAGTGAGATAAAAATTTTTGATGTCTGTCATACCTTCATCACAAGATGCTACTACACTACAAGTTTGTCTTCACGAGAGCATTGAAATAAACCAAGTCCAAAAAAATTGCTTAAAAGGACAAAATGAACACCACCTGCTTGGGAAGCAAAAGTAACAAGATCACATAATTCAGTGAGTTTATTTGAAATAGGACAAAAATTTCAACAAAAATCTGAATTGCTGAGAATATGTCAGTTTGGATTCCTATCAGTAACACTAAGATCACATAAGGCAGAGGATATTTGATGTTATCCTTCCATCTATTTGTTACCAATTTCATTTGTGAATAAAGGCTCAAGTTTCCACAATCTACAGTTACCAAGCTTTGTGGATTGCTTGCATAGGAGATGAGGAACAATACTATCAAATGTATGGTCAAAAGCTCAAAGTTCAAGGTCACTGACTGAGAGAAGAAAATCATTCCTGCATGATAACTCAAGTTCTCCCACACCGGTAATTACTAAACTTTTGTGGGTGACTTGCACTTGAGGTACATAAAATAGTATTGACTTAAAGGCTAAAAAAAAAATCAAACAACAAGGTCACAGAGAGTGACAGAAGAAAATGGTTTCTGCACAATAACATGAGTTATCCAACATATAATTAAACAAGGGTCATGAATATACTGAAAGGTTCACTGTCTTTATTTGTCATCTAAGGTAAATGTGCCTCTGACATAGTCTGTTCATGAAGACTACCAACATTTCATTTAGGTCTCATCCTAGTAGAACATAAACTTACATCAATGATCACAGAATAATTTAGCACATTTTGAAATTTTCAACGTAAATCTAAGTCCATAAAGGATTGTACCTGCATATACATCATGATATTTGACTTCCTCTGAAATGGGAGCATGTTATTCCATCTTTGAATAGTTCTGCATATGCATGCACATGTCTGCACCAACTCCATTGTAGTGTGATAATACAAAGGAGTTAACTTGAAGCTATGAAATTTTACACACTTTTCATATTAACTATTTTGATTTTCATGCATAATTAAAATTTATAATTTTATTTTGCAAATTTTGTTTAGATTTGATTGTATTTTCAGACAAAAAATTATGAGCACTATTAGGTACAACTCTTGACAACTGTGGCCTTTTTATTGTATGAGCACTATTAAGTATAACTCTTGACAACAGTGACCTTTTTATTGTATGAGCACTATTAGGTACAACTCTTGACAACTGTGGCCTTTTTATTGTATGAGCACTATTAGGTACAACTCTTGACAACTGTGGCCTTTTTATTGAGCTATGTTAATACAAAGTGCACAAGAACATGGAAAATTGATTCAACACATTTTGTTAGGCATAATATTATTACATTAATACATTGATGACCTAATTAGACTTTTATGCCATGGCAGTGATTTTTCAAACGTTTGTTACAAATTTTTAAAACATTGTTTGATTTTGACTGTTGGACAAAAGTTAAGTTCACAGATGAAGCAAAAGGCACTTAATGTAGACAAATCATATTTGGTATCCACCTTTCTGTCAATAAATTTTGATTTGATTAGATTTTATTTGTTTTTATTCATGTTGTTTTTACATTTTGAGCTCAACATTTGATTTTGTTCACTTCTCAAGAACCACTGGACAAATTTCAACCAAACTTTACAGAACATCCTGGCATGATGGTTTAACTAAATTACACATGTTATGTTGATCAGACATAAAAAAATTGTCACCATTACTTAAAATGGACAAATCTTCAAATGACTTCTTCCCAAAAACCTCTGAACAAAAAAGCACTCTGACATAAAGGTCCTTCAGGGATTTTTATTTATTCAATGCTAATTTGCAATCAAATATTGTCACTGGTAGCAACAATGGAAAATCATTTAAATGGCTTTATGTATTATCATAAATAAAACATTAAATTGAATTTGACCAGTATGTATTCTGGTATGCATGACTTTTTTTGTACAAAATGGTTCTGAACTTCCATCAAATATGGTTTCTGTTACAACCCCTTCCCTGAAAATGTTTAATAATTTGAGATCAATTTGGCAGAAAGTGTATCTTTAATGTCCATTAAGATTTATGCCACTGACGATGATCTGCAATCAAATATGGCTTCCATTACTAAAAATAGAAAAACATTACAACTTAATAGAAAAACGTCATCAAACAAAATTTGACCGTCAGTTGTTCTGGATGTCATTAAAAGGGACCAATGAGACAAGATACATATTAAACAGGGCAAAACGTTAATGGGGATAACTAAGAAATATACATTTAGGTTATAAAGTTACTATCGCATATATTGTTACATTGTTAGAAGTTTTTTTGCCTCAACTAAGACCTTATGGCTTTTAACAGGAATTTAGATTGGAATTCTCATTACCAACACACAGCTATTTTTTATTCATCACCCACACTATACCATCAACACACCAATACCTCACATTTATTTATCCAGCATATTTCATAATGACACTATGAAACATGTGACCAATATTTAGTCATCTACTATCCAACACTCAACACTATAACCATCAAAATGTCACATTAGCTACACACTCATCAGAACCCCATATTATGCCATCAACATGCCATGAGTTATCTACTACCCAACACCCCACATATACCAATACATGTTATGGATAGTAACCGGTACTCACACTTAATAAACACTTAGTCATCTACTAAAGTGTATGTAAGCCAAAGTCAATGAAAACAGCCATAAAAAAGCAAAACAAAATTGGGTTTTTTTGCAAGGTTGGTCGATTCTGACCAGAGATTTAGTCTGTCAAAACTATTCGACTTTAAGCTTGGTCTGAATTGTTTGCCTACAATCTTTAGAGAATACTCTCTCAAATATGACCGCTCCGGTGGACTAGTGGTTAGAACGTCCGCCTTAGATGCGGGAGGTCGTGGTTTTGATCCCCGGTCGAGTCACACCAAAGACATAAAATGGTACTAACAGCTGCCCCGCTTGGCGCTCAGCATTAAGAGGTTATTGTTAGGACTGGTCGGCCTAGTATCAGGATAATGTAACTAGGTGGAACACCATGCTACATATTTGCACCATGAGACCCCATTGATAGACATCACTATAAACTGCCACATCTGCAGACATCGTAGTGATATAACTTAAAAATTGTTAAAACTACGTTAAAAATCCAAATCATAAATACATGCTCTCGATCGATCGATGGAAAACTTAGTTTTAAGTAAAGCATTATCATCTTCGATTACCATACGAGGTATGTTCGGCTTAAAATTATAACAGTAATAGTGGGACTCTGGATTTATCTATACCTTCTGGTATTCAATCCATCGAAGACATAATTGAAATTGCCTATTTTCTTCGATACAGAATCGCACATATGTGTCATGAAATAAGATTGCAGGAGATCGGTTTACTGATTTTTCCATATGTTAATTGAGTTCATTAGCGATAGACGTCAGAACTTTGTTACGTGTTCATAAACAGTTACCTGTGTCAACATATTTAGAAATGTAAGGTACGAAATACTGAGCACATCCACCACTTAAAGACTATAATAGATTCGTCCCAATCTCATTTTGAACGGAACACCCGTTATGTATTCATGTTCCATTATGGCCTGGTAATAACCATCAAATGATATCATTGGATAAAGTAGAAGTATTATGTGTTACAATGACCATCGATTGATTTTCTTTAATGCTGAATTGGACTTGAGAGCAATCTTTCTAGTTTCTTTTAAAGTGAATATTTACAATCACTAATAAAGTCACCTTGGAGTCTTCTCTATTAACACGTGAACACAATTTAAATGAATGCTAACAGATGGCCCTATCAATTAAGTGATCTATTTGTACCTTAATTGACAACGTAGACCCTGAAACTGATTCGTAAATGACAATGGAGCCGATAAATTGACGTCTTGCTAGGAAGGTTGTCAGTTACAGTTATGACCTCAACAAATATAAGTGCATACAAATTTCCTTAGTTTTTAAGTTACTGTGAGATAGCAGACTTGAGCAAGGTAAGATCGATATTTTGAATATAGTTGCTATTACCTGTTTTAAGAATATACCGTATGTACAGTCTATAAGCACTAATTGTTTAACATAATCGTACCAAAAAATTTTGTTGTGTAATATAATCCACTAAGGATGCGAATTTTTCTGTAAATTGCAAAATAATTTCGTCCTTTTTCGTGAACTTGATGTAAATGGCATTTTGCCATTATTTTAGATACCTAGAAAATAGTCGATAATAAAATAATAATAATAATAATAATAATAATACTAATAATAATAATAATAATAATAATAATAATAATAATAATAATAATAATAATAATAATAATAATAATAATATTGTTGTGTTGTTCTGGTGTACAAAATATTTTATTCCATTGTCGTGTATGTTTTAGGTTCATTTTTTTTATCACAAGAAAGCTTTCTTTGTGATGGGTGATTTATATGACAGTCCCATTTCAACTAAAGTTCACACTCACACGCAAAAGTTGTTTCAAGCAGCTGAAAGAAAATTATTTACCACTGAATTAAACTTGTTCGAATTGTATTAGAATAACGCCTTGTAACAATTACTACAAACACATTTGTGGATTTTTTAACGTTAGCGAAAATAAAAAAGTAATTCTAATCATTTATATGGAAAAGAAACAGCAATCGATTCTGATGAAATCCCCCTCCACACACACACGCACACGCACACACACACACATACACACACATTATCTGTCAATTAAATAAAATGATTTTTGTTTTGCAGTACTTTAATAATTCCGTTCGTCAAAAACTTGTGACTACTACACACTCATTTCATGTTAATAAAATAACTGCTCTCTCTCTCTCTCTCTCTCTCTCTCTCTCTCTCTCTCTCTCTCTCTCTCTCTCTCTCTCTCTCTCTCTCTCTCTCTCTCTCACACACACACACACACACACACACACACAGAAACACCTTTAAGCTGGTTTTAGCAACATCCTTTAAAATATAAAAGAATCATCATTTTGAATGAGACAAGATTAACATAGTTCGCCGCCAATTAATATTTTTTAGATAATTTTGTTTGTAAGTTTTGATTTGACTTACATAAGTGTTGAATTTCAAAAATGTTTTCATTTATTGTGCCACAAGAAAATTCTTGAAATGGCACCGTAATATTAGAATCCCATCAAATGCTACGTATGTAATTGGAATCATGCAAACCATTTCCTTGGAAGGCTGATACGGCAGCTATGCTTGACACTTGTTTCAATTTCCTAATTTTCTACATTTTCTTGAATTTCCCTTAATTTTTATTTGATTTTATCCAGACCTTGAACAATAACTAATTGTTATGAATTACTCGACAGTACAGGTTTATACAACATTGTCGTGAATCTAATGAAGGTATTTCATAACCATTTCTTTTTCAATATTTTATTTATAAATCTACTTCAGGAAAAAGTCCCTCTTTAACTCTCGTATTTGCAGTTATTTCTTCTTCCTTTGAAGTCCTCCTGGCATGAGATGTGCTAAAATTTTTAAATCCCCAAAAAGTATATCCTTCACAGGTTTATCTGAGATTGTACCGGACTGAGGTAACTCTTTGCTAAAATACACACCTACGACGCGTGAAGTCGAGTTTTATATTTTAAAAACAACGTTAGACTTGTGTAGTTTTATTGATTCTTAAATAATTTTCGACCTCCCCGTGCGTTATATTTACATTGTCAACAGTCCAGCCAGGTGAGGGCATGATGTCCTTAAATTATAGCTGGCTTTGTAACCATTGTAAGACCTTAAGTGACGCGTTCATACAGGAATACAAGTGCCCTGCTGTGGTCAATACAAGTGCCCTGCTGTGGTCATTCGATAGTCAATGATTTGTCTCCACTGGTTGCAACCGGTTCAGGACACAAACAATCATTGTTTTATCGTACGTCAGCTTTTCGACGAGAAATTTAAGTCTGATGTTGTATTTAAAGGGGTTTTTAAACACAAGTACTCGACCTTTCAAGAATGAATTTATTATTATTATTATTATTATTATTATTATTATTATTATTATTATTATTATTATTATTATTATTATTATTGACTTGATAATAATCAATTGGGCTGTTGCACAAATGAAACTAACTTCAAAATGGGGTGTGAACCTTCAACTTCAGAACAGTCGTTGGATTTGTAAGAAAAGTTGTATTTGTGTTCACTGATAAAAGAAGTCAAGGTAAGAAACTGTGAATGTATACCTTTTTATTAAATTCAGGAGTGTATGACTTTCTTTGCCTCGACGTTTATCAGCTCTGTAGAACCCTTCTGACATTTTATAGTTAAGAATTTGAGAGGCGGGACTATGTAATTTATATGGTCTTTCCTTATCTACACTAAATCACCCTACAAGTGCAGGTTTTCGTTTTACGGCACAGCAACAATATATATATATATATATATATATATATATATATATATATATATATATATATATATATATATATATATATATATATATATATATATATATATATATATATATATATATAATACTCGATGTATATGAAAAATTTTGAATATTTTGTTAGAACTATTTGTTTCTTTGAGCCTGGAAATAAATGTAACACCGATCAATAGGCGTTATTTAAACTGATCTGCAGCCCCACGTGTATCACTCCAGGCACTTGCAGATACACTCGTGTGCTGTAACTGCATTGACCAATATCAAATGAGAACAATTCTGCAGCTAAGCAAATAGCTATACTGTAAAATCCAGGCATTCTCACGATAACCTCCCAATGATATCAAGGCCGCAAGGCAGTTTTAAGAAGTTAGGGGCCCTAGGCACGAACTCTAACCTTCAAAGTAACCAGAATTGTGCCTCAATCTCTCAGTCTCAGATAAAGAGTATTGCCTTACATTTCAATGTACATGTGTGTCATTTTGTTAAATTTATTGATATAGTACTAAACTGCTAAGACAACCGACAACGAAATTTTGTCACCCCCATGGACCCTTTACGGCACAAAATTTCAAAAATGTTATAGACCATCATTTTGGTGTCGTCACCCCCTCTTACGGTTCGCACCCCCACGCACCCCTCTACGGATGCCACTGCCAAAGTTTATTATTTTCTTCCTGTCGGGTTTCAGCAAAGCAACTCATGTTTCATCATCTGTAAAAATATTATTGGCGAGTTGGTGTTTGGCTATTTGAACCAGACTCTAAATTTAAGTAACGATTAACAAACGCGGAACTTATCTGCCACCAACTTTTGCGAATTTCAACTTACTCTTCCATATCTTCAAACAGTGATAACAGAAGTATCTTCCACCGTATACTGCAGACAGGGAAATGGCGATGATCTTTAAAACAATGAAACCACCTCAGAATTGTAGGATATGGTAGTGGATTATATCTGTAATTTTGTTTAAGTCGGCCTGGCATTGTCGTTTTAAGGCATAGGCACGCGATGCACGTGTAATTTATATGGTCTTACCTTATCTACACTAAATCACCCTACAAGTGCAGGTTTTCGTTTGACGTCACTGGACATGTTCATGCCTCTGAAGTGTCATAATAGTTGTGGGATGCCGCCGATCCACGCGTCCATGCACCAGTACCCAAGTTATTCAACTATTACCTGACACTGCATTGGCACCTAAATCTGACGTTGTGAGAGACGTCCCTTAATGAGACCCGTACCCACACGTTGCAACAAACTCCATACAGCCCCGAGTTAGTTCCAACTGATTTTTGGCTGAATCCCCGTTATAAAAGATTCGCTGACGGGCAGACGATTTGAAAGCAGCCATATGGTTGGAAGTGCAGTTTTCCAGTGTATAAACAACATACCATGAGGTGAATGCAAATATGACATTTAATAATTGAATAATCAGACAAAATAAGCGAGCAGATGAATTGCACTGACGTATTGTATAGTGCACCAATATTTAGAACT